GGGGCCCTCTGTGAGGCTTTGGTGGGGCTTCTGTCCCAGTGATTGGCATTACACTTTCTTTGGGATTTTCTTTCTCCAAAGGGAGTATAAAACCCAAGACTTGAAAGCCTACTGATGAACAAGTCAAATCGGACCTCCTGGTCTACTGCTTAAAGACCCACTGCCCTTTGATTTGACAGGTCACGTGACTATCTCAGCAACCCAGGCTGGCTAAACTCTAAGGGCTTGGGGCCCTGTTTTGACCTATAAAAGGAAATGCCCTGAGGCCCGCATGCTTCTCCTCTTCTAGGCTGGCAAAGCCCACAGGCTGAGTGCTGAGGAGAGGGATCAGCTGCTGCCCAACCTGAGGGCCGTGGGGTGGAACGAGCTGGAAGGCCGTGATGCCATCTTCAAGCAGTTCCACTTCAAAGATTTCAACAGGGTATGTCAGGGGAGGGAACAGCATGCCAGCCTGGGGTGGAGGATGCCCTGTGGACTTGTTCCCCTGCTTCAAGTCCTGGTGGCCAACCCCAGCTGACTACACTAATCTGGTCTATTTGTGTGCTATGCCAGTGGCAAATTCACTTCCCTGAATAACTGCGAAGTGTCGGGAAGATGGGCCCGGGGCCCTCCCCACCTGGAACTTTTAGAAACAATCTTTAGAGGACTTAGTTCATCCGTAGCAAACAGATGTACATCTAGTGACATTGTAATAGCCAAAAGACCTGTGCTCTTCACCTTGCTGCTGATCCTAGTAACCAGACATCCTTCCTGCTAGAGAGACAGCCTCTAACTCAAGCCTTGGGACAGGAAGTTCCCAGGGGAAAGGACCAGAGACAGGGACTGTGCCTAGAGGAAGGAAGTCTATCGTCCTGCACCTGGAGCTTATAGTGGCCATAAAAAGGTACCCGGGCATCTCTTCCTCAGAACACTCAGCTGGGTCTTGCTTCACTCATACAGGCTTTTGGCTTCATGACCAGAGTGGCCCTGCAGGCCGAGAAGCTGGACCACCATCCCGAATGGTTTAACGTGTACAACAAGGTGAGTGGGGCCAGGTGCGCTCTTGTGCTCTGCCCCAGGCCAGTTCTGAGAATGCCGACTTACTCATAAGGCTCTGCCGTGGGCCTGCCTCACCTGTTCATTCGGTTCATCTCCTTCGACCCAACATAAACACCCCTCCCAGCCTGGCAGTCTCACTACAAACTAAGGAAATGCAAATTAAAACACTGAGATATGTGGCCTTAAGGTAGACACTAAAAAGTCAAAAGCCAAGACAGGCAATGCTGTGGGAATAGGACATACTTATTCATTGTTAATAGCTCTAAATGGCTATCTTTCCAGAAGGAAGAATGAAATAAGAACTGGGAACTCAGAATATCTGTGCATAGCAAACAGACTGTCTGCTCAGTGAACTGAGTAATGGTCATTACATGACTGCCAT